TAACTTTACGATGAAGGATATCCAATTTCAAGCTCAACTTCACGAAGAAGGGAATCGTACACACAAGCATCATCCATCTTTAGATTGGATTTCAACTTCACGACGAAGGATATCCAACTCAAAGAGGGGTTATCTGTCACTAAAAGACCTTTAAGTTCGACTACGCTCAGCTCTAAGGCATATCATTTGCAGCATAACTTAAGTCGAGAAGGGTTATCTGTCAACCGAAGACCTTCGAGTTCGATTACATTCAGCTCAAAGGCAAAACAAATTTGCAGCATAGCTTAAGTCGAGAAGGGCTATCTGCCAACCGAGGACCTTCGAGTTCGATTATATTTAGCTCAGAGGCAAACCAAATTTACAATATAGGTCAAGGCTAGAAGGGCTATCTGTCAACAAAATTGTCGAGCTCGGTTCCATTCAGCTCGATGACACCTCAATCACACTACTGTTTGGCTGCAATCGAGGTTTTCAAGTCGAGAAGAAGACCCGAGTTAGCCGTGCCTAAGTGAAAAAAACTATCTATCAACGAAGACCTTTCGAGTTCGATTTCATTCAACTCAAAGGCCTATCAAATACATGGTGGAACCAAAGAACTACTTTCCAGTCGAATTTTTAACCAAGGTCTTTAGTCGAGAAGAAGACCGAAGTTGACTACACCAAAGACAACGAGAAGCCACATTCCAATTCCGAACTACAGCTTCAATTCCATATCACTTCAAGATGGACTCGACTTCGCGACGGAGGGGCCATCCGCTACTCAATTCGACAGGGAGTTATTCTTCAACTCCACTGAACAAAAATTTGTGTCTTTTTATCTTTGCCCTATTTTTCGTTCCACGAAAAAGGACAAAGAGAGGCAGCTGTAGACACTCATTTTTGTTCATTTTTTTATTTTATACATATATATCTATAGATATATATATATTATATAGTTTTTTTTAAAAATACTTTATTATTATTATTATTATTAATTTATATATTATTTTGCAGGCCCCATAGAACCCGCGATTCAAGCTCGAACTTGCTTGGCACGATGTGACCAAATTCACTGCCTTTGCATTATACCGTGGAGTGCAACGATAAAAAATTGGAAATGCAGACATTCCTGCGGTCACAGTCGTATAACTGACCAATCCGTTCGTTTTGGTGTGGCCCCATGTTGAACCCCCATATATCGTAACTGTTTCTCTTCATGGGAAACTAGTTATGTTTCCATTATCACCTCACCCCACGTATCTCAACTAAGTCTCTAAAAATCTGGCTAGAATATCTGGCAGCTGCAACCTTCCAACGTCTATACTCGTACCTTATATAAATTGTAAGATGTTCAACAAAGGGGGGGAGGAGAGGAGGTGAACAGGAAGATTGCTTCAATGAAGGCGATTTCCATCATTCTTCGACGAGAAACCACCAAAGCTCTATAACAACAAAAAATGACCAAAAATGTCCACACAGAGAATCTGTGTGTATATACATGTCTGAGAAAATGTGATGAGATGAAACAAATCCCCAAAAGGCAGTGAATGGAGATTCTATCTTTTTTTATGAGAAGTAGCTTTCATGGTATGTCGTGTGCTTGCTCAGGTGAACAATTTAAGTTCAAAGATGCATCGCGGTCGCCGGAATCATTGGCGACCAGAGATTTCTCAACTAGTAGACTTTCGTCTCAAACCGGAGACTGGGAATCGAAACACGTTGATGAGGTGGATGGTAGCTTCCTGGACCGAGCATTGATTTCCAAACAGAGAAATGGTGGAGCATATGGCAGTCGGTCTTCAGCTACACCAAGGTTTGCAGATACTTATCCTGTTTTAAGTATCGGTTTTTGTGAACTAATTATTTAATTGATGTTTCCTGTGTTGGGCCTCTCGGTTTAGTGCACCATGTCCAAATGAACATGAAAACTTCCTTAAGAAAAAACATGCGTTAAAGCATGCACATCAATTGAAGAGATTTGTCTGTTAATGATATCTAGTAACCATGGCTTTTGGAGTAGTTTTCTATTAATTTATATGTTTTTGCTGTTGTGTATCCCGCCAATATATATATAATTTGACTGTGTAAAATACCAAGTAAAATATATGAACATTAGATGCTCATGTCTGCTACTCAAAATGCGGAACATATATATAATTTTACCGTGTGATGCTTATTTTTTGGTTTTTTTAAAGAATTTCAACAAAATTAAAGGTAAGTAATTTGAATCGGGTTTTTAATTTTAATTTAAGTTTTAAATTTTCGCAACTAAGGCAACCGACAAACTAATTGGTACCGAAAAGGCGGTTCAAGGGTGCTAATCCTTCCTTGACCGTAATCGATTCCCGAACCCGACATGTTCTTGGTACAACGCAGATCAGGTAAGATGGTGTCTGGCCCACCTAAATTAGTTTTAAAATGGTCAGTGGCGACTCCAAATCCACTCATTCACATCGAATCCCAATTCGGGGCCCAACCAAAAGACGGTTGCGACAAATATAATGTTGATAGAATATAGTAGTTTTATTTTTTTAACTTATTTTAATTATTTAATTTTAATATATTCATTTATAAAAATTATTTTAGTATTTAATAGTATTATATTCAATTTTAAAATTTATTTTAATTATTTAATTATATTATATTAATTAATAATATATATATATAAACATTAATAATATATATTGACATGGCATTTACTCTATATTTGTACTTCATATTATGTTACATTATATATGTAAACAATTTAAATGAACCTATTAAGTGATTTCAGTGATAAAAGATAATATTATTTTTTATATAAAAAAGGTTTAAACGGTTACGTTCTCAACTATGTAGTTTAAAAATTTTAAATAAATATTATCTTGTAATTATCTTAATTATTAAAAAAACAACTTAAATAAGGAAAAGCTTTGACCTAACTTGAAGTTGGATATTTATAATAGTATAACGTCTATATCTCTGAAATGAGTTACTGATTTTAGATTTATAAATTTGTAAATGATTTTATCTGACAGATATGTGTCTAAATAGACAGCCACGCATTAATTCTCTAACAATTTGAAAAGAAGAAAACGAAAATTTGACCGTTTGCCATCTACCTTCTCAAATGCTATGTTGATTTTGGATACGTCTTGTATGGGTAACGTCTCTTGTTTTGAATGTTATTTGTGTAATTATAATAAAATGATTAAATGTTTACCTGCCTTACCATGGTTTATAACTTAGATAAATTATATCATTCATTACTCAACTATTGCTTTATTCCTATTTTGATCATTGAAATTTAAAAAGTTTCAATTTAATCACTAACTTTTGAATTACTTCCTATTTTACTCTAAGATGGCATGATTTATTTTATTAATATTTTCCTATGAAATGGCATATTTGATCAATATTTTTTCCATGTAATGTTTTTTTTAAATACTCTCTATTCCTTAATCATAATCCCCTGATCCATAAATCTTAATCCCTACTCTATAAATTACAAACCCTCATTTTCACCCTCGTTAGATATGAGAACGAGAGTTATGAGATATGATTTAGGATTTAAGGGTTCAATTTAAAGTTTAAGAATTTTGGGAGTTTTAGTTTGGGGTTAAAGTAAGGTGATTACATAAGGAGTTATAGATCTGATATGATAAGGGTATTGGAGTGTAACACACAGGTTAAGGTGAGTTGATGGTATCTCAAAATAAATGGGTACCAAGGTGCCAGGAAGGGCAGCTCGTGCTAGGCAAGGGAGTAGGAAGGCGCGACTAAAATAGGGAGTTGGACAGATAAACGAGTATTGAGAGCAAGGGTGAGAGAGAAGGGCCCTCAAGCACGATCAGGAGGATTTGAAATTTAAGGGGTTGCACACAAAAGGTTGGGAAGGCGTAAAATTGATGGACATAAGGCGTTTGAAAAGAAAAAACACATCATCTTAGATGCCAGTGGGTTTGATACTTGGGAGGTTATCGACGGAAGAATAGAGAGACGCGTTGTTATTTTAATGAGAATAAAATAATTATTTTCTTGAATTTTTTAAGATGCTTTAAAAATAATAAAATAATTAACGTCAATTTGAAATCGTAATTTATATTTCGTCGTAATTGAGTCAATTCGACAAAAAGTAAAAGATAAACCAAAAGAGAAAAAATAGTAAATTATGGGTTAGAATGAAATGAATAAACTAAGTAAATTGAAGACCTAAAAAATCATTGTGCCAATATTTAGGATTAATCTCATAATCATACTATAACTTTATGAAATATACATAATGCACGTGGTATATAAAACGTCAATTATTTCTTAATAGTATGAAATTATTATAAAGCTGTGTTTACTTAGAATTTCTTTAATTTATTAATAACATACACATATCATATATATAATTGTACGAATTCAAGACTTTTAGGTAAATAACATTTTTTCTTACCACTGAAATCACTCGATGAATTCTAATTTAATATATTGTAACTTTAGAAAAATGTTTAGGAATGAGGATGGAATTTTGACTATTATTAAAGATAGGGGTATTGATTAGAGCTCCTGTTTTCTTCTGGATGCATTTGTATTAGTGTAGCAGGTTCTTGCTTCAAACTCTCAACTTATTAAAAAAAATAGATAAAATAAAAATATTTAGATTTATTTATTTTATAAATACATATATTAAAATATTACAAATAGGTTTTAATCAAATTTAAATTTTATGTGTATGATTATATCAAATGAAGATTCCTATATGCATTTATTTTTTATTTTGTTTAGGTCTTATAGTAACACATTTATTAGTAAAACGTTAGTCTCTATCTACATTTCAACTTCCCCCAACCTGAATACCTGATTCACTATTCTTTTAAAATCTTCCTCCCAATTCAGTCTGACTCACCCACTAATGCCCACACAATAATATATTTATCTTTTTCAAAGTCCCAATATTTTAACTATTTCAAAAACTCCCCATCCCTGGCGGCCCCTCCATTTCTTTCTATTTATCATAAATCTCCTATACTACAACCAAAACCATAAACAAAATCATGGGGAGGAAGATGAAGTTTTCTTTCCTCTCCAATGCCAATGCCAAAAATTCTTGGCAATGGCTGCCTTCTTGTCACCAGCCCAGAACTCTCTCTTTCCGAACACATAACAACAACACTCTTTTCAGTACCATCAACTCAGCTTACTTAGATTCCATTGATGAAATAGCTGATGATGATCTTCCATTAGAGACTGTCATTCGAGGTTTGAAGTCGGATAGGCTGTTTTTCGAGCCTGGAAAGACCAGTTCAATCATGGAAGAGGCAACAAAAAGGACTGAAGAAGAAGGAGAAGACGACGACGATGATGATATTGGTGGGTTTCCTTTTAAAGAGAGTGTAGCGTTGTCAATGGAGTCTCGAGATCCGTACGTCGATTTCAGGGAATCCATGGAAGAAATGGTTGAAGCTCTGGGGTTAAAAGATTGGGAAGGGCTTGAACAACTATTGTTCTGGTATTTGAGAGCCAATGGGAAATGCAACCATGGTTACATCATTGGTGCCTTTCTTGATTTTCTTGTAGGTCGACTCGCCATTAATGTTTCTAATTCAAAATCTGATAATACCCATTCACTTTCTTCTGCTCTATCTTTCAACACTTCTTCTCCTTCGTCTTCGTCTTCTTGTTTGTCCTCCTCTGAGGCTTGCTCTTCGACAACGATTCCTTGTGTTTCTCCATTAGAAGCCGAGAAAGAGATGCACCATGGTTGCCGTTGTTTATCTTCTTCTTCTCCACTATCAGATCAAAAGGGAGAGATGATTATAGTTAAAGGTGCTGAAGATGATGATGAAGCTTCTTCGTCTTTTTTAGTTGTTTGATTCTTCAGTTTTCAAATATTGTGTATACTAGTAATTTTTTTTCTTCCAGAAATGCATGATAGTTGAAGAACATTTCTTTGTTCCCAGACACATCTCAAAATGCTGCGATTAATGAAAATGAAACTTTTTAACAGTACAGAGAAATTTCCATGCAATTCTCACATGACATGAGACAAATTTTACATATTGATTTTCTTTTTAAAAAGAAAAATCCACTACCCCACTAATAATAATAATAATAAACTGTTGGTTAAGCACGAATCCAATTACCCCACTAATAATAAAAATAAAAAAAACTGTTGGTTAAGCTCGAATCCAATAATATTAATAATTAAAGGTCTCATATTGGAACATAATGTTTATAGCAGTATTTAAGAGTTCATTATAAAATTAATAAAAATCTTTTTAATAAAAACTATCTTAGAATCTCCTCAAATTAATAAAAAAATGTTGGTTAAAAATCACGATTTAAAATAAAGGCTTATATCATAAATAAGAATCTAAAGTATATTCATTTTTTTTCATTTAAGTACCTAAAGTATTTTTAATCAAAATAATTAAGTAACTAAAGTTATATTTTTTGTCAAAATATGTACCTAAAATATTTTATGTCAAAACAAGTACCTAAATTATTTAAATATTTTCATCTAAGTTCTAAAAAAGTTGATATGTAACGTTAATTAAAGAATACTTTAGGTATATATTTTAACTAAAAAATACTTTAAATACCTATTTTGACCAAAAAGATAACTTTAAATATTTATTTTGACCAAAAGATATGTTATATAAACCTAAAATAAATGCCAAGTTTTTTTAAATTTATGAGTATTAAATTTGATAATATCTAGCATTGGATTTATTTGACCTGGTACCACATTGTGCCTTGAAGAAAGATGATAGCCGTTGATTTTCAAATTGGGAAGTCATTATCATATGATAGGTACAATTCCAGCCAGGATTTTGGCATTGCCCTACTCTCATTATCTTTTCCTCTTGCACCAATATTATCTTAAAACATTTATCATTTTCATTTTTAGATCATTTATCATATGATAGCAGTTTTATGTTTATAAACTATTTTGGCATAACAATACATTTATGAAGTTGGAAAATAATTTCTTTCTGAAAAATGCTTTATCGTTGAATTTGAGAATATTTTTCGTATTTGTTAAGAATCCAAGTGGTTAAGATTTTTCAACATTTTGTGCAAAATATTTCTCAACAATAAACGATTGATAAAAATATATTTATCCTTGAAAAATATTAACAAATTCAGTTTAAACTTAATTTTCAAATTTAACATAAATACTTTTTTATTTTAAAATGGGTGTATGAATTATGATATATATTGGTTAGATTCTATATTTTTAAAATCCAGTCCTCAAGATTACTCAAAAATTTAATATTAATAAATTAATGTTTAACCACTAGAATTTTTTTATACTTACTAACAAATTACTCAAAAGCAATAAATAAAATTTTAAAACAATAAAACCAAAAATGCTTGAGAAACTTTGGAGTGTAAACAGATATTAATTGGTATTGTAGATGTTTATTAAGTGATTTCATACATATATCGCCCTTTACGAATTACAATGATATGTTTTTGATAATCCCAAACTCTTGAGCGATTAATTGCCAATTAAAATAACTAACACTTGTTACTCTACGTATAAAACAAATAGCAAATTAACCTAGTCGTCAACGTGCTACGACTCAATTTTCCTTTCCGAGAAATTTGGCTTCACCTCGGAAGCTAGAATTATCAATGGCCGAAGCTTCTAAACTGTGTGCCGTGCTCTCTTTTTTCTAACACATTAATGGTCACGCTTAGCAATGGAAAATAAAGATTAATTAATGGTGAAGATGGAAGATTAAAATAGAAAAGGTATCTCAAAGCATTAATTAGAGATTCTTTAATTATAAAATTTGGGAGAAATTATTAAAATATTAACGGTATCTAAAAGCATTGATTATAGATTATTTAAAGTATGGTCATCTTTGTCTTTCTAGTAGACGCGATTTATCATTTTCTCTCCTATCGTATTTTCACATCGATTTAGCCCTCAAAGTTGTTTAATTACGTCATTATATACCATTTTATTAAATTAAAATCCTAAATTATAAACCTTAAGTTAGTATTTAGAGTTTAGGGTTTTAAGCTATGGATAAAGTATAAAATGATGTAATGGAGTAACTTCAAACGTTAAATTGATGTGAAAATACGATAGAGACGAATATAATAAATTAGATATATTACACGAAAAAAAATCACCTTTTTGTCGATTATTTAATTGGACTATATCCCATAGAAAAACAAAGTTTAATGCAAAGATCCCATGTTTTACTCTCTCGGTAGTTAAAATCGAAGTTGTCGCTGTAATTGCAAGTTATCTAAAGATAAACTCAAATTTGATGCGAAATTGATGCTGATGAATTTATTTTATTATTCTCTCAAAGTTTTGAGTTTAAACAGTTCATTTACAGTTATTTATGAGTTAAAAAATTATAAATAAATACTATGTTATAATTATTTAAACTATTTAAAAATATATATATTTTTAATCTAAAATGTTTCTTTACCGCCATGCTATAAGCGTAATTAATACAATTTTTTCATCCATTTTATATGGGTGTGGCATTATCTGGTCTGTATATCTATATACACATTCTTAAATTTTAATTTATACCAAGTATTTACATATTTCAATATACTAGAAGTATGAAATATAATTTTTGGATTAACCATATCAATTATGTAAAAGTTAGGGAAGTATGAAATATATATCTTCTACCCTATTCCTACCTGACCTGAACTAGAGTATACTTTCAATCTGACTGAGCCTGATATAAATAAAGACCTAATTAAAAAAATTAGAAAGAGATAGTGTATTGTAGCAATTATCCATAAATTTATTTGATGAAATTACACTTTTACCCTTGGGTCGGGTAGGAATTTTTCACCCTCCACCCGAACTCAACCCGACACAACCTCACTCCTTCATAAAATCCGACCCAACTCAACATGAACTGTAACACCCCAACCCGTACCCGACCCGAATACGAGTCCGAGGTGTCACATTGACTTTTCAAATCTGTACACTTAAAGAAAATACCCCGGGTAATTTAAAACTTTGTTTAAAACAAAATACTTTAATTTACATCAGAGAGACCACAAAATACAAGTTTGATCAGAGTATTCATAATTAACGACTTATTACATGCCAACACTCTATACACGCCAAAATACATACTTGTTGATTACTTCTGATCTGATCTTCAAGTAATAATACTGTCCTTGCTACTTCTATTCCTTTTCTTCACGTTTCTTGGTACCTACGTGTAAATCACTTACACGCTAAGTCATAGACTTAGTGAGGCAATAAATAAACATTTAACAACAAATTCATGAATGTGCATTCTTATCATTTGATCATGACATTTCAACATGCATGTATCTATCACATGATAACATATATAAGCATGTCAAGCACATGTAACACTTACCTTCTTGTGCCACTTTCACTTTAATTTATCTTTCAATTGTATTGCCCATGTATATTATTGAGAATAGAGGTATGTGAGTTCATTGAGGTTGTGCACAAATGCTGTCACCACAGCTCGTATAAATTCCCTCATGGGGCACCGAACATTAGTTCAGTATTCGTCCCGAATGACTGCTATATATGTCCCGTAGGACCACTACGTCCCGAAGGACTACAGAACCCTCGACTCTTGGCATGCCAACTATACCTATAGCTCTCGTATCATATACTATGGGCATTTATGATGAATACATTTCTCATCACTTGTTCTTTCTCTTCTGTCACATACCACATGTATGTGTAACCATGTATTTCATATCATATCACATTTTTCATATTCATATGTCATTTCATATATTCACATAGTTTTTCTCATTTCACATGGTCATGTCTCATAGCATAATCCTGTATGCATGTATATCATGTAACATTTATAATAATCTATACACATTTCATGTATTCATGCACATATAAAAATCATGAAATCAAATAACAATTTAGGATTCACTTCTTACCGTAGTAACTCCATCACTGGCTCATCGCAAGCCAATGTTCGTTCAATAATATAAGTACAATAAAAATTGCACTCACCTTAGCCTTGTTTGATTTGAATCAATTCTAATCCTTTGATTATTCCAGAACTTGTTTAGGCTCAATATCTACATAAATATAACATTTCAAAACAACTATCAGAAGCCTAAACCTTAAACTTGATGTTAACAACTTAAGCCAGATTATTGAACCTAATTTCATTTTTCCTTTAGGGGGGAATCGATTCCCCCCCCCAGGGGAATCGATACCCCCCTGGACATTCTGGAAAAATTTCGTCCAAGAGGGGGAATCGATTCCCTTCATAGGGTATCGGTTCCCTCTAACCAGAATTGGTATTTTAACCCCGAAAATCATCAATTCTTCACTTAATTCTTCTATTTTAAACCCCTATCATGTCATTAAATTCAACTACCATCACTTAAACCAACTTATATCCATGAAAATCATCTATAACTTCAAAATCCTATCTGTTGAGTTAATCGAATGACGAAATTGGCCAAGAGGGGGGTGAATTGGCAATAAAAATTTTGTGGAAGCTTTTGCAGAAAATTGAAAGCAATTGCACAGCGATTTACAGTGGTTCGACTTTCTCAAACAAAGTCTACGTCCACTACCTTAGCTATCCACACTAAGGATTTTCCAACAAATTCACTAATTTGTTCTTTCTTTTGAGGCCAAAGAGATAACCTTACAATTCCCTCAAGAGTATACCCCAACTCTTGAGAACACTCTTTTCTCAAAGAGAAGATTACAAATTTGCAAACTTACAAGAAAACCTCACAAGGTAAGATGTTTGCACAATTCTAGAACAAAGAAAAGAACACTCAAAGATGAATACAATTGAGCACAAAAAGTGTTCTTGAAAGCAAAATGAATATTGAATGAAAATGGGCTTGAAATGCT